ATTTGCAGAGTAACATGAAAAATAACTAATGCATTGGCTGCTGGCTTGCTGATAAAGGCTGTGATAGCATCTAGGCGTGTCTAGAAAATCCAGCGTCATGACAAACACGTCACAGGCTGCAGGACTTTACATCTGAAATGGCAGGTTCTTCTTACTTTATCATCAATCCATTCTTATTTTCAAAGCTCCAGACAGTCCATACAGGTTTGGTAGGAAAGAGCACGGAGCTGGGTTCCTCAAGGGGTGCTGCCATCCTGTAAATGAGCAACCCTTTCCAGCTCAGAAATGGCTGAAAGAAATGGGTGATTTTGGAAGCTGAAGCCGAGTAATGGGTCAGCAGAAGACGCGGTAAACACAAGCGGCTGTTATTCTTTCCACCACAATACCAGTTCTCCACGAGGACAGTGAAAACTCTCCTAATTCCCTGTAGGAGGATGTCATGTCTGGATAGGATGGCCCCCATAGACTTATAAATCTGAATGCTTGATCCCCAGTTAGTGGATCTGTTTAGCAAGGATCAGGAAGTGTGGTTTTGTTAGAGGGTTGTGTAACTGGGAGTGAGTTTTGAGGTCTCAAAAGCCCAAGCCAGGCCCAACCTCCTTCTTGTTCTCTTTTCGCATCCTGCTTGCCAATCAGGATGCAAGCTCTCGGTTTTTGCTCTGGTGCCATGCCTGACACAAGCTTCCAACCTCGCTAATCATGGATGAACTCGCTGAAACTGTGAGCTAGCCCCCAGCTAAAGGCTTCCTTGTGTGAATTGCCCTGATCACGGGGTCTCTTCACAGCACTAGAACAGTGAGTAAGACAGAGGCTGGCCAAGGGGCTGAGGTACTACCATGAGGGGCCTGACCATGCTATTGAGAGGACAAGAAGACTTGGAACTTTGGACTAGACATGAGACTGAATGCTATAACTTGGGCTTATGGGCGGTCAGAGTAGGAACTTGGAAAACAACAGTGCTGAGAGCTAAAATGGAGGCCCAGCTCAAGAGGTTTCAGAGATAACTATGTTAGTGGCTAGGGTACAGATAATTCCTGTAATATTGTGACAAGGAATGTGGTTGCTTTCTGCCCTCGTCTAAAAATCTGCTGGAGGCAAAGTGAAAGAGCTCTGGACTAACATAATTAACAGTGGAGATTTCAAGACAGTCTAGTATTGGCTGTGTCATGTGGCTATTAATGATTATTCATATGTAGATCTATAATGAAAAAAAAAACAGTTTCCAGCTCCACAAAGCAGCGAGACTTGGCAGTTTCAGCCAAGTGGTTCTGGATTGAAGAGTGCAGAGGTAAAGGTGTTGTGGAATATTCCGCCATGGTTACATAGACCATGTGGCAGGGCAGTCCCTGCATAAGGACCAAAGGCTGTGAAGGCAAACTATGGATTCACTGGAAGCCCCAAGAGGCTGGAGAGCCATGGGTTATATGCCAAGGAGGGCTGCATACAGGGTGTTGAGCCAGCCCAAGGAAAGGAGGCATTGCTGTTAACAAAGCTGGAAGCGTGGGAGAATCAAAGAGCTATCAAGCTCTTTGACATCAGACATGGAACTCCAGGATTTGAGGTTTGACCCGCCAGGTTTCAGTCTTGCTTTGTCCAGTATGCCCTCGCTATGACTTCTTGTTCTCTTTTTTGGAATGATAATGCCACTGTATGTTGGAAGTCTGTGACTTGCTTTTTCTTTAACAAAGGGTTATAATTAAGAGATCATCTTGACTCTCAGAAGAGATGGACTTCTTTTTTATTCTGAGACAGGTTTCTTTCTGTAGTCCTGGCCGTTCTGGAACTCACTCTGCAGACTAAGTTAGCTTCAAATTTACAGAGATCCACCTGACTCTGCCTCTCAAATGCAAATGCTGGGATTAAAGGCATGTGCCACCACCACCCAGAGAGACTTCGGACCTTAAAACAGTTTGAAACTGTGATAGACTACAGGAACTTTGAAGTTGGACTTAAATGCACTTTGCATTATGATATGGATACAAGTCTATGGGAACCAGAGAGTGGAATGCAGTGGTTTGAGTAATAATCGCCCCCAGAAGCTCATAGATTTGAAAGTTTGGTTTTCATTTGGTGGATTGTTTAGGAACAATTAGGAAGCACCATCTTGTCAGAGAAGATGTGGCTTTGTTCAAGGAGATATGTTACTAAAGGTTTGAGGTTTCAAAGGCCCGGTCTCTTGCTCTCTCTGCCTCCTGCCCGTAGATCAGGAGTCCACTGTCCTGTCTGCCTGCTTGCCACCATGCTTCCCACCATAATCATGGAAACTCCGAAACTACAGCACGCCCCCAGTCAAATGCTTCCTTTTAGAAACTGCCTTGATGATGGAGTCTCTTCACAGCAAGATTGTTACCAATGGCATTGTAACCACGGTAACCATCATGAGCCCGGAATTAAGCATCACTTATGAATCAAGACCTGGTAAGACAAAAATCTTCCCTGGTTTCTGCTACTAATTCTCACTGTCCATTAAGAATAGAAGCATCATTAGAGTAGACATAACAACCACGAGTATTTTCTCAAGTTATCTCTACCTGTGGAGCTTTCTGAATTTATGTTTCGGCAAAAGCTGGTAGCATATGCTGGAGATACGGCTCAGCAGGCAAAGTCAGAGGTTGCTGGCTGTCAGAGCTTGATCCCTGAATCACAATGCGGAATGAAAGAACAGATTGCCAAAAGCTGACTTCTACATAAGAGTCATGGTACATGTGCGTGCACACACATGCACACACACACTAGGTAAAATGTGGTTAAAACAAAACCGTATGGTACTCTTTCTCCTTCAGAAGTCCTCAGGTAGACACCACTTGATTTGGCTTTAAGTTTAAGTGAACAGAATAACAACCTGGTATAAACCTAAAATCCCAGAAACCAGGCTACCTTCTTTTAGTCCGCAGGGCACAAGCCTTGTAGGCAGGTGGGGCAGGGTCTTCTCTTTCACCAAGCATCACACACCCTCACACACATTATAGAGTATGAATTATGACGGTTTGAAAAAGCTAAGAATATATTATTTTGACCATAAGGACTGTTTGTACAGAAGTAATTATGGAGAGAATGGGGTGGCCTTAAAAATCAATCTGGCTGCTGCTTCTCAGGCGAGAATTAATTTGGCCTGCTAGTGGTGATGAGCTGACTGGTTCTGCTAATGTTCTGCATGGCTAAACATCAGACATGAAAAAAGCACTGTCGACTTTTTGCAAATTAACACTGTCTGTTGATGACATGTGATATTATTTTCCTCTATGCCTAGGGAGTATTTGATGGACACACCAGACTACTGTTTTTACTCTAAGTGGAGGACAAAGTTTGACTTTGGGTTTTGTGCTTCTTTCTCCCTCCATGTCCCACACCATGCACACAGTTTCTTCAAAGTTCTAGAATCTCGAAGAGGAAAATCAGATAAGTTCTCTCGATACCCAGAACGTCTCCTCTCCTTCAGTCTGACAGCTGAGAATGGAACAATATGTCTGTGTGTTCACAGCTGCCATGGAGACAGAAGTGCAAACAACTCTACCAGTCAAGTAGGGAACTATACTACCTTGTGGCAAAGACAGGCTTTGTGCTTTAGGGCTCAATCTGGCCAGGCCCTGGCTGTAAAACGCAGCTGCTGGCACCACTTGAAGTCCCAACCAAGAGCAGGGAAAGAAAGGCACCTCTGGGGAGGGGGATCCCACATGTTTTCTCCCTTCTTCTCTCCCTCCTTCCCCTCTTTTCCTCCCTCCCTCCTTTCCTCCTTTCTTTCTTCTTCCCTCCCTCCCTCCTATCCTTCCCGAGCTGGGGGATTTTGAGAAGCCTTTGAAGTGGTACACACCCATATATTCACCACCACCCCCCAGAGAATGTTTACAGTTTCCAAAAGATTCTCAGTGAGCTCCCTGCCTCTTACCAGGCTAATAATACCCAGAGGACACCCTCACTGACAGGTACGAAGTTCTCTATGATACATAATTTTTAACAGATGGTGTTCTACCCTCAGGCAAAAAAAAGTCATAATATTATCATTGGTAGGCGATTTGTGTTCCAGTAATGTTGCAGAAACAAATCTCTGCAGTGATACTTGATTGTAAATTGTTGTCTGGGTTTAATAAACATTAAATGTGGTAGCTATAAAAGGGACTTTTCTTAGAAAGCAACAAAAGGCACTTACTGCGCCCTTAACTTCCTACTTAAATAAATCATAAAGGATCAACTGAATAGTTTTGTTTGTCCTCAGATGTAGAAGCTGAAGCTTCTTTTACCCACCCCTCCCCAAATATGAGGGAACACTACAATCCAGTCACTCCTAAAATGACTATTGACTTTGTCTTTCAGGGTTTGGTCCTGAGGTTGGAGCACTAACTGCAAATCCAGCCATGAGAAGCCTGAAGGCAGAGGGCTCAGGCATGCGTAAGGCGGTAGCAGCCTGCCTGGAGGACGATGTCATGACAACAGTCAGCGCAGCCTACAACACAAAGTCCCTGTAAAGATGCTCAGCAGAGGGCTGGACATTGGTTCGGCTGGTAGAATGCTTGGCCAACACACGTGAAGCCCCAGTAAACGTGGTGCGATTTCCTACACTTGTAAGTCCGGTATTGGAAAGATGGAATCAAAAGAAGGAGGAGCTCAAAGTCATCCTAGCCATGTAGAGTGAGTTTGGGGCCATTCTGGGCTACAAGAGACCCTGTGTCAATAATCAGAGAAAGGAATTGGGCTGTGTGTCTCTCGTGCTGGTTTTATTTTCTTTCTTTCTTTCTTTCTTTCTTTCTTTCTTTCTTTCTTTTTTTTTGACAGGGTTTCTTTGTGGTTTTAGAGCCTGTCCTGGAACTAGCTCTGTAGACCAGGCTGGTCTCGAACTCACAAAGATCCGCCTGCCTCTGCCTCCCGAGTGCTGGGATTAAAGGCGTGCGCCACCACTGCCCGGCTTGGTTTTATTTTCTCCAGAAGGTTGTGAAACATGCCTCTGACCCTTCACCCAAGACAGGCCTTTGGCCTGAAAGTGGGAACCCAGGAAAGCTACTTACCAGATACAGGTGGCTGGTCACTGGGGGAACCCCCAGATCCCGAGGCTCCCCTCTCCGAGCTTGGAAGCTTTGCATCAGCCCTGTCCTGGGGCTGTCCTCCTGCCTCTGCCATACTGGCTGCTGCTTCGCTGGGAAGGCCCATGCTGTAGGCACACTGGGGCAAGGGTCCACATTTCAGAGAACCCAGAAGCGGCTCATGGTCCTCCCCAGGAGTGTTTCCAGAGCCCGTGTAGCCGTCTGTTGAGTTGGAGCTGGCCACCCAGAGCAGGCAACTGTCATCCTCTATTTCTCTTTTCAAGTACTTTTCAGGGGACAAAGGAATACAGTCAGTTCTGCATGGGGGCGCCAGGAAGCTGCAGCCTTCAGACTCAGCCGTGCTCTCAGTCCCTGTGAAACACTGGCTTAAACTGTCATTCTCCCCCACTTCCAGAGGCTCCTGGAAAGGGGGTGTGGATTTGCTCCCAGGCTGGATCACAAACAGCGAACCATTAGAGGGCTGTGAGGGCCGGTCTGTGTACTCATCCTCTGTGGGAATCTTCCTTGAGAGGTCCCCCTGGATCTCGACTTCACTGACCAATGTGAGCATCCTGGCATCTCCACCCTCTGCTGCACACACAGGCTCACAGACCCCAGAACCACCTTCCAGATAGCACATGTCTTCTGGAAACATCTTCTCCCCTAGGGTCATTAGTAACACTCTTTCCAATGCTTCTTGCTGACCAGAGGTTGCTGAGTGTGCACCAACACAACAGTCACCCGAGGACTCCTGAGGATGTGAATTCAGAATATCCGGTTACTGAATTTGCCTAACCCGTGCAGAAGAGCATTGCTATGTACTGCTTCCACCTTGACAAGTACAAATCCCATACTTTATGGATTTGTTTATGCTGCTTAAAATTACAGAGTACGGAAGAACTCTGGAAAAAGACGCAAACAGAAATGACTGGCTCCATACTGCAATGAATAGCATCTGCACACTACAGGAGAAGAGGAAATGCAAGTAACACCTGGACACATCTGTCTCTAACAAAACGACGGCAGCTGCGCAACTGCTGAATTGCAGGCCGCAGCTCTGCCTGCAGCATGCTTTAGTTCTGTGAGTTCTGTCACTCAGTAAATGAGAAGCCTGTGGAGAACGAAAGGATTTGTATGTAATGCTGGGAGCGGAGAGAAGAGAGCGGATGCTGTGACACTGGAGCTGAATTATAGAAACCATGTCTGCAGCTGATAAATCTTATACTCAACAGATGTAAACGGCAAACTAGAATAATTAGCATTTTAGTATCAAATCTGGATTGGAAGATAGCTAAGTCACTCTTAACTTTTTGTTGTTTAGTTTGGGATTTTTGAGACAGAGTCGTATGTAACTGAAGCTGGTCTTCTTAGGGAGTACGGGATGACTCTGTGTTTCTGATCTTCCTGCCTCTGCTTCCCAGGTACTTGGATTATAGACAAATGTATTCTCTGCTGGTTTTCAATCAGGGTTTTGTGCCTTTTCGGCAAGCACTCTTTCAATTGCGATACAAGACCAGGGCCACAACTGAATAAATGTGCTTATCTAGTTATTAATTTCCTTACCTACTTACCTGTTTTAAAGGAGAGAGTGAGTGGAACACGAGCATCCACTGTTTTCTTTTTTAAAAAGATTTATTTTTATTTTAGTGTGTGTGTGTGTGTGGTGTTCACGTGTGCACATCTGGGTCTAGTTGTCCTAGCCGGCCAGAAGAGGGCATAGAATCCCCTCGCTCTGCAGTTGCAGGCTGTGAGCACCTGTGGCTGTGAGCTGTGAGTGCTGAGAACTGAACTCAGCCTTCTGGGGAGAAGTGCGTGCTCCAAACCACTGAGCCATCGCTCCAGTCCCAGTTTTGTTTCTGTTTATTTTTCCATTTTGACAGAGACTATTTATTCTTAAGGAAGGTGCATTTACACACTTAAGAACAGAGGAATTCCCAATCTCCTTTCACTCTGAAGTGGTTCCAGACTCACTTGGTTCACACACAGAAAGAGCAAAGACTAAATCTGTGTGATAAAGTGTGAGCTACTGATGAATTTGAGCATCAGGCATCAGGCCTTTCTTTGCAAGCGTCTTAATATTTTTCAATAATTTTTGAAATTATGACAAAGGAGAATATTTATTAAATAACTACAGAACAAAGGAAAGTCGTAGATCGTTCCTCCTCGGAATCTGCTCTAAGTGATCATGTCCAAAATACATACACAGAGACAACAGAATTGGAATGAAGACTGTTGTCTGGCTCAGGGGTCGTACGCTTGCCTGGTACGAGTAAAGACCATTCGGTGTCCAGCCTGGGATGAGGGAAGGTGTGGGAATGGGGCGGGATAAAGACAATGGGCATTAACTTACTGAACAGGGATCAGCTCCGGCACAGTTTTCACTGCCTGGTAGGCAGTGTGCTCACAGCCAGCCAGTTGCAGCTCTAGAGACTATAGCAGGACTTAAACAAGGCAGTAAACACTTTTACCTGGTTTCCACTTAGGCTGCTGCAAGCATCATTGACCCAGTTCCACAAATTAGCTGGAAAAAAAGCAAAGATATAACTACATGTAATAATTTTCTACTTATTTTTAATATAAATTTTAACTTATATATTTAGCTTATACAGTATGATGCTATAAGATAAATATAGACGGTACAGTTGTTACTATAATAAAATGGATTAACTTATCCAACATGTTAAATGGTGACCTGTATGTGGCAAGAACTGCCAAAATCAACTCGATTAGCAAACGTATTAGACTGTCCTATACATCTGCTGCTGTAGCCTTTGACCTGCACCTCCCCATTTCCTTCCTCCTGCCCCTGCCCATCACTATTTCATTCTCTTCCTTTGTGTATTGACTTTCTCCCATTTTAGATGAGTCTACATAAATATACCACTGTAAGTGTCACAGAAGGTATTAGCATTCCTGAGTGACAGTATTTGGTTATAATTCAGCCAGGGCTGGGGCTGAAACTCCGTGGCAGAAAGCTGGCCTGGCATGCACAAAACTCCGGGGTCCATCCTCAGCGTGGGGGTGCAACAAGACTAGTATGTGCCTCGCTCAGTGGGACAGTACTTGCTTAACAGAAGAAAAGACTTGGGTTCAGTCTCCAGCACAGGAGTGGAAGTCATCCAGCCAATTAATAAATTAACTGGTTTAAACACACTGAAGGCATCTTACTTTTTAACAACAGAACTTGCTGATCTCTAAAGGGAAAAACACTGTCAAAGTTAGTTTTCGCCAACTTGACACAAACCTAAATACCTAGGAAGAGGGACCCACAACCGGGGGAACTGCCTCCATCAGACTGACCTGTGAACTGTCTAAGGACACTGATTGCTGATTGATGTGGGAGGGAGAGCCTATTGTGAGCAATGCCAGCCCTGGGCAGGAGGGCCTGAACTGTCTAAGACAGGTAGCTGAGGAGCTGGAGAGATGTCTCTGTAGTTAAGAACGCTGACTGCTCTTCCAGAGGACCTGGATTCAATTCCCAGCATCCACATGTAGGCTCACAATCATCTGTAAGTCTCGCTCCACTGGATTTGATTCCATGTTCTGGCTTCTGAGGTTAGCAGGCATGCATGTGGTACAAGACTCACATGTAGACCAAACATCCATACACATACAATACATTTGGAAAAGAAAGGTGGCTGATGAAGACATGGGAAACAAGTCAGTAGGCAATCTCGATGGCCTCTGCTTCAGTTTCTGCCTCCAAGTTCTGGGCTTGAGCCCTGATTTCTGGACAGTAAAGTGTAGGATGTAAAGACAAACAGACAAGCAAACAAATGTCTCTCCCTTTTAAGTCACTTTTGGTCATGGTGTTTATCATGGAAACAAACCTAACTAGGACCCACTAATAATCCATCAAATCCCTATGACGCACCCGGGTCTGCCATGGTGCAGAACACACACATTCTCACTCCCTGCAAAACCTTATTGTGCATAAGAGAAAGCAAGATAACTAAGAGAGGGGCACAAAGAAGGTGTATCTGTGACAAAAATATGCAAAGTTTTATCCCATCCATTATTAAAATTCAACGTTTTCTTCAGTCACTATGAAGACTGAAGCCAGGAGTTGTGGATTCTTGTGGTTTTGTTTTTGCTTGAATATATGTATGGGATGTTCATGTATGTACGTATGTGTGTTGTGCATGCATGTGTATATGCATGTTCATATGTGTGTGTCGTTCGTGTGGTGTGTGTGCACGTGCACGCATGTGCACATGACCCCAGGAATCCTCGTGAGTCACCCTCCATCTTGCACACTGAGGCAGGATATCTCACTGAAACCCAAGGCTCATTAGTACAGGTCATGTAGCTAGCCAGCTTGCTCAAGGGATGCCCTTCTAATCTCCCTGGCCTCGAGTGTGGGAGGTGAGGAACCACCGCCTATGATGCTTTCATGGAAGGTACCCATATTCTTTTCTTCAAGGCTACTTTTCAGATGCCACTGTGAACACAATACCTGTCAATGCTTTCCATCCCTTCCTGTAGTAAACGCCAAAGATGATGGCAGCAACTAATATGACAGAGACGAAGAGGAGCAGAATGACGAGACTGGGCAAGTAAATCTGGGCTTCTGTGTCGGAAGAAAACAGTGTTAAAGATTATTTCATTTTGCCAAGTTAAAAGATGATAAAGTCCTATAAATCCAACCCAAGAATCACGGATGTGGGTGTTTAGGTAGCCAGAAGTAAAGAGCTCCCAGCCTGAATTCAGAGAGTTCTCAGCTGTTAGAGGACACACTCCACAGTGTAACCCACCCTGCTCAGGGGTCTCCCCTCCAGGAGAGGGCGGCCCTGGCCCATTGTCCTATCTCTGCTTGAGAATGAGTTGAATGCCATTCATCACACTGTCCTGGTTCATCTGGCTAAGTTTATTTTTCAACAGCTGCCATTCTTATTCATGGCCTTATTGTCGCTCTCTGCTTGTTGGGAAGGTCTTTCCCCAAGCCGCTTGCTTCTGGGGTGCAGCCCACACACAGTCTCTCACCTAAAGAAGCCAAACAGAAGCCTCTGCTACCCAGCAGCTTTCTATCAAGTTTTCAAAACCATTATTTAGATTAGCTTGATCTACAAATGCTCACAGATAATCACAGACAGATCTAACAAGTTGCCTTTTTTGGCTTGATCAAAATCTTCACATAGACACCCTCACACTGACTATCACTCCTACCATGCATTGGTATTTATATTTATAGCTCACCCCTAACTCGGTGTGAAAAGAATATCAGCTGGAGAGATGGCTCAGAGGTTAAGAGCACTGACTGCTCTACCAGAGGTCAATTCCCAGCAACCACATGGTGGCTCACAGCCATCTAGAATAAGGTCTTGCGCCCTCTTCTGGCCAGCAGGCATACATGGACGCAGAATGTTGTATACATAATAAATAAAAACAAACAAATACATCTTTTAAAAATGCTATCAAGTAGCTAGCATGTAGAAAGGCACTGGGTAAAATCTCCAGCAGACAAGAGAGAGGGAGGGATGGGAGAGGGAGGGAGACAGAGACAGAGAGACCTAGAGGGAGGGAGGGAGGGACAGAGAGAGACCTAGAGGGAAGGAGGGAGGGAAGGAGGGAGGGAGGGACAGAGACAGAGAGAGACCTAGAGGGAAGGAGGGAGGGAAGGAGGGAGGGAGGGACAGAGACAGAGAGAGACCTAGAGGGAAGGAGGGAGGAAAAGAGGGAGGGAGGGAGGGAGGAAGGGAGGGAGGGAGGGAGGGAGGAAAGGGAGAGGGAGAGAGAGACAGAGAGAGACCTAGAGGGAAGGAGGGAGGGAGGGAGGGAGAGAGGGAGGGAGGGAGGGAGGGAGGTTAGGGAGGGAGGAAGAAAGGAAAAGAAAAAATGAATTTGGGAGGGGAGGTGGAGAGAGGGCTCAGCACTTGAGACCTGGCTGCTCTTCCAGAGGACCCAGATTTAATACCCAGCACCTACATGGTGTTTTCATGACTGTATGTAACTCCTGTTTTAGGGGATCCAATTCCCTCTTCGGGCCTCTTCGGGCACTGAATATACATGATATGCACAGGCATAAATGGAGATGAAACACTCATATACATAAAATAAACAATTTTTTTTAAAAAAGAGAGAGAAAAATGTCATACTGTTCAAAAGTAGACAAAACAAAATGATGGGACTGAAGATACAGCTCAGCAGTTAAAAGCACTGGCCGCTCTTCCAAAGGACCTGTGTTTGGTTCCTAGCAGCCCACGACTGAGGATCCTATGCCCTGTCCTTGCCTCCTGGAGCAATGCATGTATGTGGTGCACAAACATAGGCGTATTAACATATCCATACACATAAAATAAAAAAAGAATAAGTCTTTTAAACAAATAAAATGCTGATGAGAAATGAAAATAATACGAAGACAATCGTGGGCAGAATGAACTGAAGAGCACAAACAAATCCCTGTCACTAGCTTGTCACTCTGGAGAGACCCCCCTGCGACCATGGACCACCCCACAGCCTCTGCTCATCGTACCCTTGGGTGACTTCCTCAGGGTCAGGGAAGAGCTGCACACCACGTCTGATTTATTCGTCCCCGGCTGTGCTTCTAGTCTTCCAAGGAGGGAACAGCTGTGAGGAAAGAGCAGGCAATGCTGTGGATCGACACTTTAACTTTCAAAACCCCACAAACGAAATGTTAGCCTGAGCTAGACTGGGAGCTCCTTCAGGAAGAGAAGACATAATTTCCTCAGCCTTGCCAAGGGAGCAGAAGCCCTCAGAGGTGGACAGAGTGCCCAGGGAATGCTGAGAACTACTGAGAACACAGCAGGCAAGAGCAAAGAAGGAACTTATGTAAAGAGGACTTCAAATGCTGAAGATGAGAAATACAATCTTCTTAACATAAAACCTGGGTGCACTGCATCGGGAAACAGCGTTTCCTAAGAACCTGTTGAGCCACGTGCGTGCGGTGGTCTACACTGTAATCCTGCCGGTGGGGTGCTAGGGCGGCATAGCGACAGCTGTCTGCAAACAGTAGCTGCTTGGAAGAGGAGAAGCAGACACACCAGCAGCAGCTCGTGGTCATGTGAGCTTTGGAGAAATAAAGACATGTTTGGAACCGAAGGCTCCTTGCACTTAGCACTGGTGTTAAACAACAGGATGTGAAGCGCTCGGAGCCTGTCCCACGTAACTCACGTGCAGTACTGCCCTATACGTTAGTCAGGGGTCCCTAACCCAAAGCCCAACAGTCCGATGTGACGCTATTAGAGCACCGATGTGAAACCTCAACTTGGAAATCAGACGTCATGAAGCTTTGCTCTACTTACACGATAACTTAGAATGTGTGATCGCCTGCAGGTTCTGTGTGTAAGAAGTACGTGAGCAGTTCCGTACGTAAGCAGTTCCGTGTTTGGACCTGGCATCCTTCCCTGAAAGTTCTCAGGACACAGCTAAAAGCATGCCAGAACCCAAAACAAATCTGAAATATTTCCCAAGGATTTGGGTAAAGGATGCTTGGTCTGTATACCACATGATCGCTACACACTTATCCCGGCAGAAAACTCAGAGCTGCTTCCGGGGCGGCAATGGGACCTTAGTAAATAAATGGTGGTGTATTTCTTCAGTGAAGTCACAGCAATTGTAAGAAGCCGCAGAGACACCCATTTCAGTGGAGAAAAACATCACCAGGTAACTTCATATGTGCAAAGCCCTGGGTTCATCCTCGGCAACAAAAATAGCAAACAAACCGGGAATTAAAATATCGGTGAATGAAAATGAAATATCAAGATGATTACAGGTGGGGTAAAATCAAAGGCACAGATGGACCTCTGTGATTTGGCTTGTAAGGAGCTTCAAGATGACTCAGGAAAGCCAAAGCACTTACAGTGCACACAGATGTACACAGACAGATGAGTAAACTAGTGAGGGTGGGGCAGCTGCGGACACAGCTCAGGCACAGAGGATAAGCCTAGCGTATCTGGAGGCCGTGCATTCCACCTCTGTCCCAGACAAAGAAGTCATAAACAAGTTTCAATTAAACAAAGTTAGGTTAAAGAAAGAGAAGCTGGAACTGGAGGTCATATATTTCTGAATCTAAGAAGTGGCACCAAAGCGAGCTTCCAGGCACCGACAGACATTTTCCGAGAGGAAGCTAACCTGATACAATCGTCCCGCCTTCCACCCAGAGCTGCTGAGCTGATCAGGTCCCTGGGCGTCTGCATGGTCACTTACTTGGTCCAGGGTCTGCATGTGGCTGTGGATGAGGAGACATCTGAGAAGAAGCCCAGGAGGCAGGGTGTGCACACCGTGTCCATGTTGAGCCGCACTGTCAGAGACACACAGAAGCCAAGACACTTAGAGACGGGCCAGCATGGTGTCCCTGAAGAATTACCCCGTCTTCCCGGGTCTGCCTGGCTCCCTGTATCTCCTGCTGTTTCCTCCAGGGTGGAGGAAGTGTCTACAGACTTATGTTTGGAAATGCTTCATGTCAGGCCACCACTACACTGACGTCCAGCGAGGTACAGCCTTGCCTGGCCTTCACTCCAGCACATTTCCCCGTCTGTGTTACCAGGCTGAATTTTGCTGGCTGACTATTTCCAGCCTTCCGGTTACATCAGCTTTGAGCTGCAGGTGAATGCAGTGCCATCCCTGTCTTTAAGGGAAACGTCTTCTTCCAACGCCAAAATAGCTCATTACTCTAAAATCTGAGAAGGGGTGAAAAATGGTATCAAGCATTTTGGATATGGGCTATATGACACTATTTACTACAAAAGTTATTATTTCAAAACCCGGAATAACTGAAATGCCTGCCAACACTTGATTCCACCGCTTACTAATGAAATGGGGATTCACTGCCAAGTGGGGTGAGCAGCTCATTTCACCAGGCTCCAGAGTGTGGCGGTCACCGCGCTCCCCTACCCCCAGAGGAACGCTGTAAGTCTCTTCCTCCTAAAAGGCTGTGATTGCTCACAGCACAGAAGTAACTAGAGACAATACGTGAGGCAACTGGATTGGACTGTGTTCCAAGAAAATGTAAATGCGAATGCTGAGACAGTGTGGGGCTTGCCTTCATCCTCAGAGCCGAAGCTGATCTTGCCTAGGAAGCTTGATTCACCTCTCACATTCTCCTAAGCTAAATTACCATCATAAGACATGCCGCCAGGTTTCCTTGTCTCCTATCGTTATTGCAATGGGCACATGACGATTTGGTAGGCACAGATGGACAATACTGACTACAGCGTGACACCAACATCAGGCCGTTGGCTAGTGCTAAGCCTTCAGATGGCTTTTGACATTAGTAGCATGTCTAGGGTTTATTTTCATGAATACAAATCAACAATAAGAAATTAAATTTCTTGGTACATGCCTGATAGGAAGTATATGTTTGATTTCTGTAATTTGGCAATAAATAAGATACATGGCCACACTGATATGGCAGTGTGACTCTCTAGGTAACAATCCTAATAATGCTGGGGCTATTGACTAACTAACATTAACCGAAACAACTTTATAAACAATGAGCACAGGCTCATTGTGTGTTTCCCAGCACCCACATCAGTCAGCGGAATGTCCGACTCCATGGATCCATCCGAGTTCTCTGGCCTCCTCCAGCACTGGGGCACACACACACACAGACACACACACACACAGACACACACACAGACACAGACACACACACACACAGAGACACATACACCAACAGACACACACAGACACACAAAGACTCTCACAGACACATAGACACACAGACGCACACACATAGACACAGACACAGAGACACACACACAGACACATACACACAGACACACAAACACACACACAGACACACAAACAGACAGACACACAAAGACTCAAACAGACACATAGACACAGACACACACACACAAACAGACACACACAGACACACAAAGACTCTCACAGACACACACACACACAGACAGAGACAGAGACAGAGTTTGTTTTTTAAAGATGAACAAAGGGTGGGTGAGATAAAGGCACTTGACCCCAGGTCTGATGATCTGAGTTTAGTTCCTGGAACCTACATGATGAAGGGAGAGAACCAACTCTCAAGAGGTGTTGTCTGACTTCCACAAATGGGCTACAGTGTATACACATACAGACACACACCAAATAAAGTTACAAATTAAAAATAAAGTAATGCAATTTAGAAGATTCTGAGGAGGGTTCAGGGACATTCCTTTCCATCCACCTGACTTTTGGTGGTTCTTGTTTAACTCTGGCCCACCAGTGATATCCTGAAGGCTTCATTTTCCTTCTTTGTTTTACAAGCAGGCTTCTCACACTAATACAAGAGGTAACACGTCTATCTACTCTCAACCCAAACCTTGTTCTCACTATACTGAGCCAGGATCTGCAATACTGGTAACCACAAAGCTGCCCTCACCGCTGCCTGGGCTGCTTTTCTTTCCCTGCTGACCCAGAACAAATGTGTGGTCACTGGACGGTCTTTGTTTTGAATCCAAGTATACTACAAGTTCGGGCAAGAGTGACTTTGTCTTCTCAGGGTCTCTTGTAACCCAGGCAGGTCTCAGACTCACTGTGTAGCTAGGGATGACCTTGAACGTCTGATCTCCTGTGCCAGAGTTCTAGGACCAAGTGTGTACCACCACACCAGGCCACATTCAGTACTGGGGATCAGTACAGGGCTCTGTGCATGCCAGATGAGCACTGTACAAACTGACCAGGATGTCCCCAGCCTCAAGAGTGAGTCCACACACCTGTCAAAATGGACCATTTTCAAGGGTTCAAGGCATAGAGAACTGTTAGGTGGCAAACCCTGGACAAAGGTTAATTGCTGTGGCTGACTCTGGCCACTAGCAGTTTCTGGCAGCTTCCTCTTTCCTCTGTACCTACCTGACAGGTCCACCTGTCTGCAAAACCCCGCCTCCTACCCTGAACTCTTCATCTGGGAGCTGGGCTACCCTTCCCCCAGAGGATCTTCTCTGTATAATCCAGAGATTTTGGCCACACTGGTTCTTTTTACCCTTTTACCCTCCTGGCCTCTAAGTCTCCTGGCTCTAGGTCTCTCGCCCCTTCTCTCACATGGCACAGCTTGGTCACGATCACTGTGAACTCTCTCAGATAGATGTCCCTGCCTGGCTACACGCTCCCTCTCATCTACAATAACCTTCTCCTCCACTGTTCATAGGAATAGTCATGTCCTCCTTTTCATTCAAGAATATCTTCCAGAAATCAGAAAGGCAGCGGGCAGCACCCTTGTTCACAGAGGCTGCAGAGTTCGCAGGGATCTGACTGTGGTGGGGACGGCTGGCCTCGCTGCTCACAACCTGCCGCTGACTCTCCCTGACAGCATGTGTGGATGAGTCAGGGCGCTGATGCAGAGGCCTGCCGTGCTGGCTAGATACATTCTTCCGTGTGGCTTCAAATGAATAATATTTTAGTTTCCCAGCCCTGTCCAAGTGCGCTGGCTTTAAAACCATGTCTTTAAGTGAAAGACTGGCAAGCATACTCTGAAGACCTGCTCTGGGCCACTTCCTAGAATCTGGGCGCTAGAAGGGCTGGCTCTCAGAAGCAATTTCGCAAGACCGGAGGATTTCTGCTTCTTTGCTTTCAGCAAAGCTGAAGGGCACAATGGAGTTCTCAGATGGCAGAGTATTAACACAACTCCACATCACTTTGTGAGCAAGGGTGTCACTCAGGTGCTGAAGCTGTAGGTGTTCCTCAGCAGCGATTCTAACAACTCAGAAAGGAGCTAGAGAGAACTCTGATAACGCGCACCACTCGTGGGCCACTCAGCCCAAATATAAACATGGGGCAATCCTACTCTCAGGGTTCAAAAGCTGTGAACTCTAAATGAACATGTGGCCAGTTATACGGTAATGAGCATGGTGACAGCTCAATCCAGAAAAGACCTTCATTTTTACTTTGTGAATGCAAGTCAATTCAAGTTGTTTTTTAAACGAATTTCAAAGTAGTCCTTACTCTTTCTTATTTGAAGGGCTAGAGGAGGTGATTGCGAAAGGCCTTCCCAACAAAGAGGAGGAGGCAATTCAGCCTGGAAAGAAGATGGGTGCACACAATCAGAGGAAAGAGCACGGCTGTTCCAACAGTCAGCTTAAGTAGTGCTCTGGAGGGAAGGGCTTTCACAGTCCAGTGGCTGGCTGGAACTTTGCCCAGGCTAGCTGGCCAGCCTGCTCCAGGACTTCGCATTTCCTGGCTTCCTTTCTTGCTGGAGCTGGGATCAGCTTTCAGTGTGGGTTCTTGTATCGGGCTTAGGTCTGCACGCTGGTGAAGCATTCTCTGTATAGACAGCAATGTCTCCCCAGCCCTCTATTGCCTGCTCTTAACGTGTTATTGCAGCTATAACCTCCCAACAGCCAGTCTTTAGGAACTCTTTACATTGGAAATCAATATCTGTAGATGTCAGTTTCCAACATGTCCCAAGGTGTGCACCCTCTTCTAAGATGCTGCATGCTGTTTACTGCCTTGGTGAATCCCTGCACTGTACTGTCTGGGCCTCGGTTTTTACAGACTGAGACCCATGGGCACAGAGCTGAGGGGGGGCGAGGGAATTCGGGATGACTGCCCATGTGCTGTTGAAAGCTGGACTAAACTGGGTTTTTAGTCCATGCTAAGGTTCCTCAGAGCCAAGCGGGCTGCCTGGAGCACCCTTGACACAGTTGTGACAAATCCCCGGAAGTCCTCTGGGCAGGGGTGTAACAGCAGGGCTCTGTTGGAGAGTACACACACACACACACACACACACACACACACACACACACACACAAAACCGTGCCGTACAGGGATGCTCGGCCCCAAAGCCAGGTGCACACTCCATGTTACGGCGGCAGCACTCGCAGTCTGGGTTCCAGTGGTAGCCGGCTGTGCAGGCACAGCGCCGTGGGGCTGTGTGATTGCCAGGGTCCACCGCCACCAGGGCCTTGCCTGTGGGAGACAAGAGAAGATCAGTGACCAGCAAGAAGCAGGAGACACAGATGCACTGTCCACCCGGTGCACTGTTCCCACCCAGCTGCATCTGGCAGCCAACAGGGTGACTCACTGGGTTTGAGGAACTCCGGAGTTCCTTCCCGCACTTCCTTGTTGGTAGGAAACCATCCAACATACCCTGTTCTAGAGAGCTGTGTGGGCTTTCTAGACAGCTTTGTGTTAGGAGGTTTAATTATTTGTAATTGCACAGCAGTGCACAGCTGCTAGTTTTTGTTGTTGGCGGGGCGGTTGTTTGTTTTGTTTTTCTTGTAAATTCAGATTTCAAATAAAATTTAGACAGACCTAGTGAAGTTTCTGGGGACGTGAGTACATCCAGGCGTCCTGAAAGGCTCTGGGGTGCTCAGTTAAGAGGACAAAGCACAGAAACAGGCACAGTCTCACAGTCTGTCTGACCTACGAACCAGGGTCTGTCTGTCTGTGTTTCTCTCTCTCTCTCTCTCTCTCTCTCTCTCTCTCTCTCTCACACACACACACACACACACACACACACACACACACACACACAAACACACCTCTTCCCAATAAACAGAAAGGGCTTGACTTCTTACTCTATTTTCCTGGCTTCTCAGTTTTCTGGAGTATGGGTGTATGGGAACTGAGTGCCCAACACACATTCTTATTGTTCAGATTCACATGAGTGTCCTTGTTCACTACAATCCCTATTGACACTTGCAGGGTATTTTCATCACCCTGGACATGGGCTGAACCACACGAAGTGTGGAGTCACTCTTCGCTCTCCAGGAGGACCTCAGCATTCCGGTCTGACTTTCCTAGAGAGTGATTTCTCCTCTCGCCGCCCCGCCCCCCACCTTCCAGGATAATCCTGGGCGTGGAACCCAAACCCCATGTGCTCCAGTAAGGCATTCTCCCGCTGTTAGGTCCGCAGCCTACGTGAGCGTCCTTGCTGTAGTCTGGCCTAAGCACTTCTCTCAGCTTTGGGCTTTTATCTGCCGATGGCCTTGTTTTAAAAGACCCCATGTGTAGTGCTGTCTGGTGTGTCCTGCCCAGAAAACATGTGTGGTATAAAGCTCTGTGAGTCTGAGTTGTGTGCTGACTCACAAGACCTACCTAGTAAACAGTAAAACGCACATGACAAGGGGTTTGTGCGGGGGACAAAGGCCTCTGATGAGAGGGGCTTGTCGGAAGCTAGTCCTGAATTCTCCTAGGAGCTACGACTGATTCAGGACTCATGAATTCAACAGCTGGGGTGACTTCATGGAATGCAGCTACTGTGGATAAGGACACTGAATTGTACAGGTGTGCACACACGTGACATGAAGTCAAAGCATCATTTACACTGCCCAGGTGGCTGTCACGATGGCTCACTGGCTAAGAGCCCGTACTGTCCTTGCAGAGCGTCTGAGTTCCAGGTACCTACATCCTGAAGCTCACGCCCGGCTCTAACTCAAGCTCCAAGGGACTGGACCTTCTTTGGCCTCCTTGGGCACATGCTGCCATGTACAGACCACCCCACACATACACATAATTAAAAACAATGACTCTTTAAAAGGAAACAAACAAATAAAAAAACAGGCAAAAAGCTTCTCTGTAAAGGCTGAAAGGCCCCGTCTCATCAGGATTTTCTTTATGGCTTCTGCACCTTAACTTCCAAAGGGAAAGGGACAGGGAAAATCAAACTTGTTTCTTCCTTCACTGTCTCAAATTACAGACAATTAAGAAGGGACATTATTAGTTTTATGCTTCTTAGACCCAAGAATGAGCCCCATTTGACCAAACCCGCGTAGCAAAAGGGCAATTGAGCAGAAACATATACATAGTACATATGCGCAGACAGGGGGCATGCGCAGACAGGGGGCATGCGCAGACAGACAGGGGGCACATGCCCCGCTGCTTTTCTGCTCAAGTGAGAGTGGAGGTGGCAGCAGTTCCAGAACAATCGGATGTGTTCAGTGTTCAGCTCTAATTAATTTTGGCGGTAGACAGATGAATCCTTATTTCCAACAGACAGCAATGACTCAAGGTCATTAAAGGAAATAAAAATACTTGATCAGATGCTTGTGCCCAGTGGAGTTTCCACATTACTTTCTCCAGGCTAAAATCCGCCAGCTGTCTCAACATGTTAGAAGAATGATAGTGTTCAGAAATGCGTATTTCCTAGCTGCGCTCTAAGGGCCATATCCTATAGAAATTAAGTCACCAATAATGGATCTCCCTTAGCACTGGGGACAGAGAGATGGCTCAGAGGTTAAGAGCACTTGCAAAAGACCTCAGTTCAGTTCTCACTGCCCTTGTCAGAGTTATCTGTTGCCTCTTCTGATCCTCTTGGATGCCCTGTGGGGTGTGTGTGTGTGTGTGTGTGTGTGTGTGTGTGTGTGTGTGTGTACGCGCGTGCTGATGGCAGCCTGGGCTCACTTCATAGTGGTATGATAATTTGACCACCAATTAAAGCCATTGTCTGCAACAAATTGCAGCACCTCAGACACAATGGCATGCATGAATTCATCATGTTAATGCATATGCTTGGGAGGAAGCTGAACAATCCAGCCAGGGTTCAGAAAGCCACAAGCACTTGGTGTACCTTTCCTGTATGTGCTATGCTTTAGGGAAACAAAGAAGTGACAGAAAGGAGCTAGGCATGGTGGTACATGCCTTTATTCCCAGCACTAGGGAGGCAGAGGGGCAGAGGGGCAGAGGGTAGAGGCAGGAAGGTGGAGGCCAGGCTGCATAGGAAGCCTCTATTTCTAAAAGAACCGAGAGTTAGAGATGTTGCTCAGCAGTAAATCAACCCGCTGGCATGTGTAGGCCTTGGAATTGATCCCGAGAACCCAACTCATACTTATCATGGTGAATATTACAAAAATAAAATCCCCACTCTTATTCATCTGCACTATACAATGGATGAAGGGGTTTTGCCAGATCCTTGCCAAAATAAACCAGGATTCTATCAGCCTTCTAAATTTAATTTGCAATACAAGAAATACCAAGGAAAGAATATGACCAATGACACCCAAGGGGTGCAATCATTAAATCCACACCAGAAGCTATGCTAGAGTAACGTAGTGGATGCGTTAGTATTCCCAATAGAAAATGGAAAGAAAAGAGAAGAACCTCGTAGGGAATTCATAAAACATATTTATATTTTGATTCCTAAACATAAGTTACGTTTTTTAATGGAGCTGAGCATGGAGATGTAGTCCTATAATTTCAGTAGTGAGTTACAGGACAACCTGGGCCACAAGTAAGATCCTGTCTCAAAACCTTTTATTTAAAATATATTTATCCAGCTCCCCTTCCCAAAATTATGCCAGCCTGGTGAAACAATAAACTTTAACAATAAAAACTTTGCTATTTAGGAAAAGGCTTATGAGTCAGATCAGTTGGAGGCCCACTTCTCGTCTGTTTATCCTAGGTTTCAGTTTTTCTATCTTTAAAATGGGGAAGGTACAGGACTAATGACACAGGCACGCCAAACACTGGGCAACGTTTTGTCAATGGGAAGATGTGTCTGCAATTAAAGTGCAATGCCTATTCTGGAGCAGAAAGGTGGAAATGTTTAACCTGCAGCGCTAAGCCATGAGCAGAACCTTTTCCTACAATGATAAAGGAAAAGCAGCAGGCTTATTTATCATGTGTGCACCTCCACGCCCCCAGTGACATGTCAGCGCGACAGGCCCACCTGCATCACAGACTTTATGCAGCAAGCACTTATCTTCTTCGTTCCAGGTGTCCAAGTACTCATCTGGACCACAGGGCAGACACACACTGTCAGAGGTAGGTGTGCATTTAGAAGACAGGTATCTTCCTTAAATGGAGAAGATGATGTGTCAATCAAAACCAAAACAATAACAATAAATGCTGATCAAAAGTAAACAAGCTGGATATGGCAGTGCATGCCTTTAATTCCAGCTGGTCTTTGAGATCCCGGCTAGCCTGGTCTAAGGAACAAGTTCCAGGGCAGCTAGGGCTACACAGCGAAACCCTATCTTAAAAAAACCAACCAACCCAATAAACAAACAAACAATTACAGACAGACAGATAAAAAGAAATAAAGAAAGAAGAAAGGAAAAAAGGAAGAAAGAAGAAAGAGAGGGAGGGAGGGAAAAAGAGGGGAAGGGGAGAGGGAGGGGAGAGGAGGGAGAGGACGGAGAGGAAGGAGGGGAAGGGAAGGGAAGGGAAGGGAAGGGAAGGGAAGGGAAGGGAAGGGAAGGGAAGGGAAGGGAAAACTAAATAAGAAGAGCAGCGCTGAGTGTGTATGAAGATCTGGGTTAAATCCCCAGCGCTGCATGAAGATGCAAACGGCAATCTGCAGATGTGGTTAGAGAGCCGCTGGTCCAGGAACCTTCTATGACAGGGTAATATGTGAGGAAAGAGAACTGCAGGCACTGAGCACAGCACCTGGGCTCCTCAGGCCTCTGCTAGTCGAAATATCCTGCCCCAGATTCTCTGTGTGTACTGTTGCTCCCTCCGAGGTTTGCTGTGACTACAGATGTCTCTTAGTTTGTCTAAATAAGCAAGCAAGCAACCAACCAACTAACCAACAACCATTTTTTTACTCCCAAACTCTGCTGACTGAGAAATCGAACTCAGAAATTACACTGTGCCCTGTAGCCCTTGAGGGGTTTGCTGGAATAGACTAAGGGAAGAACTGGGCTGAGGAAGTGGATTGGTCTTTTCCTCTCATCATCAAGCTCTCCTCTACGGTCACCATGGCTACTTGCCTACATGTGTTCTATATGCACTATTTGCTAGCGGCTAGTTTACTTTGACCAAGAGTCTTCCACTGACACATGTGTGCACGCTACATATACACACATGTACTTGATCAAAGTATTGGCTCTGAAGCCAAGTGGTGGTGATGAACACCTCTAATTCCAGCACTTGGAGGAGGGGCAGAGGCAGGCGGATCTCTGTGAGTTCAAGGCCAGCCTGGTCTACAAGAGCTAGTTCCAGGACAGGCTCCAAAGCTACAGAGAAATCTTGTCTTGAAAAACAAAACCAAAAGTATTGTCTCTGTGTCCTCTATACTCAAGAGCTATTTGCAACCAAAACATCCAGAAAGACCTCAGCTATAAAGTAACCCAGCTTCTGCTACCCTCTCCAAGAACAAGAGAAAGCGAGGACCTAAGAGGTTGGTACTCCACAGGGGCACACAAACACTGGCCACACTTGTGGAAGGTGGTGGATGGCAGCCTTTGTGTTCTTTGACTGCTATATGGAAGAAGACGTGTCAAGGGTTAAGCAAGTCCAGTTAGTTATTCCGGAATAAGACTTCGGTACACAAGTTTTCAAAGGTCAGCTACACTTCATGTTTTACTAGGATGTGATTCGGGAAACTCTGCCATCTCAGGACCAAGATTCGTAGGTGACACTATCTATTGAGGGGAAGCATTATGTCTTCTGGGTGGCAAACATCATTGCCTACCACTATCATGAAAGGTCTATAAATTTCCTCCTTTATCTCTTAGGACAGAAACAAAAGGAAAGCTAGAAATCCCTGAGGTACCTGGTTCGCATTTGCTGCAACATCGTCCAAGGTGCTCATAATGTCTCTCTCGGGCGCATGGAGGAGCCACCAGGAGGGTCACCTGAAAAGAAAAGTGACATCAGGAAGACGCTGTGCACAAATTATTCCTGGACAGCACAAACAGTGACGGGCAGGGCTGGAGAGATGGCTCAGTGGCTAGGGCTTTGCTAGCCAAGGCTGATAACACATGGAAAAGGAGAGAATCAGCTCCCAAAGTCTGACCTCTGACCACATGAGACCACAAACACACAAAACAAGTAAATAGAGAGGAAAATGAATTGTCAAGTTGTTTTTCTGCAAAGCATATGAAAATACCGTAAAGGGCTTTCAACATTTTCCCTTCCTAGGTTAGTCCATTCCCCTAGGATACACAAACCCAACCTTTCAGCACAGGGCTCTTCCCGCTTAGACAGTTAAAACACTTCGGTGACACAGAGAAGTAGTGTGAATTAAAGGAAATTTCCGTGCCTGCAGAGAAGGTGAAAACATCTTTATAAGAGACACTTAAGAAGTTGGCTCCAAGCCCTCACACCTCATCATCCTCCCTGCAGCCAGTCTCCGCCCCCAGCTCTGGCAGACTCCATAGGTCCAGGTATAGTCCACCAGTCAGAAGAACAGCACTCTCTGGGCTCCATATTCTGGTCTACAACTTTTGAGGAGGACTTCGGTTTTATCAGACGGCAGGCTAAATGTAGGAACCCAAAGCCCCCCAAACCTCAGTGGAGACACCATACTGAATCTAAAGACTTGTCAGTCACCACTTAGGCCAGAAGACCCGAGAAGAAAATGAAAACAATGGAACAAAACACTCATCCAACAAGGACAAAAACAGAAATCAACACCTAGACCTATTCCAAATCCAGATGCCTAAACACCCGTGTAAGAATACAACCTCCCAAAGTTCCAATGAGGAACAGAAGGAGGGAGAAGATGAGCAAGGAAGTCAGCACCAAGAGGGGAGCACCCACCCAATGAGACAGTGGAGCTGATCTATTGGGAGCTCACCAAGGCCAGCTGGACTGTGACTGAAAAAGCAGGGGATAAAACCGGACTCTCTGAATATGGCGGACAATGAGGGCTGCTGAGAAGCCAAAGACAATGGCACTGGGTTTTGATCCTACTACATGTTCTGGCTTTGTGGGAGCCTAGCCAGTTTGGATGTTCACATTCCTAGACCAGGACGGAGAAGGGAGGACTTTGGACTTTCCACAGGGCAGGGAACCCTGACTGCTCTTCAGACTTGAGAGGGAGGGGGAGAGGAGTGAGGGGAGAGGGAGAGGAGTGGGGGGACGGGGAGAGGAGTGGGGGGAGGAGGGAAGAGTGGGAGGCTGGGAGGAGGTGGAAATTTTTTTTCTCAATAAAAAAAAAAAAGAAAAAAAAAGAATACAACCAACAAAATAAAGGGCACCATCAGAACCCAACTATCCTAAGACAAGACCTGAACATTCCAATGCAGCTGAAGTACAAGAAAATAACTTTAAAAATAATTTCATCAAGATGATAGAGGTCCTTAGGGTGTAAATTTTAAAAATTTCTTAAAGAAATCAAGGAAAAAGACAGACAAAAAATTAGAAAAAAAATCAGTAAGTATGTTAAAAAAATACCAAAAAAGATAAGAAAAAACAAACAATAAAGAAAACACAAACTGAGGGAATTCTAGAAATGTAAAATCTGAGTAAACAAAAACAGGAACTACAAATGCAAGCATTATCAACAGAATATAAGATATGGATGAGGAAATAGATTCAACAGTCAGAGAAAATTTTAAATCTGAAAAATTCCCAAAACAAAACATGCAGGAAATCTTGGGCACTATGAAAAGACCAAACCTAAGAAAAATAGGAATAGAAGAAGGAGAAGAATCACAACTCAAAGACCCAGAAAATATATCCAACAAATCATAAAAGAAAACTTTCCCAACCTAAACAAGGATATGCCTATGAAGGTACAAGAAGCTTAAAGAACACCAAATAGACTGGACAAGAAAAAAAAGTGTCCCCTCACCACATAATAGTCAAAACACTAAACATACAAAACAAATAATATGAAAAGCTGCAAATGAAAAAGACCAAGTAACATATAAAGACAAATCTATTAGTATTACATCCAACTTCACTGAATGACAGAAGAGCCTGAACAGACGACTTGCAGATATGAAGAAACCACATATACCAGCTCAGATTATGATATCCAGCAAAATTTTCAATCATTATAGATGAAGAAAACAAGATATTTCATGACAGAGTCAAATTTAAATTTCTGTTCACAAATACAGTCCTACAAAAAGTTATAGAAGAAAAACACCAACTCAAGAAAATTAGCTACACCCATGAAAGCACAAGCAACACATAATCTCACACCAGTAAAACCCAAAGAAGGAACACATACACACACACACACACACACACACGCATACACACACACTACCACTACTACCACCACCACCACAACAAAAGTAACATGAATTAAAAATCACTGGTCATTGTTCTTGAATTCTCAGTATTCCTCATTGTCCGCTATGTTCAGCTAGTCCGGATTTATCCCATGCTTTTTCAGACCTAGGCCAGCTGGCCTTGGTGAGTTCCCAATAGAACATCCCCATTGTCTTAGTGTGTGGGTGCACCCCTCGTGGTCCTGAGTTCCTTGCTCGTGCTCCGTCTCCTTCTGCTCCTGATTTGGACCTTGAGATTTCTGTCCGGTGCTCCCATGTGGGTCTCTGTCTCTGTCTCCTTTCATCGCCTGATGAAGGTTAATATTCATGAGGATGCCTATGTGTTTGTCTTTGGATTCACCTTCTTATTTAGCTTCTATAGGAACATTAATTATAAGCTCAATGTCCTTTATTTATGGCTAGAAACCAAATATGAGTGAGTACATCCCATGTTCCTCTTTTTGGGTCTGGCTTTTATATCTGGCTCTGTTATCTCCTTAAATTCTTATGAAACCATTTAATCATTATGATTTGCCTCTCACAGAGGATAACTTACTGCCCAGAGCTGTGTGTAATATCACAGAGCTCCCTAAAATGATCTACTTTGTGCTTCTCCAAAAATAACTGTGAAAAAATATAAATGTACTCATTCTAATGAATTAAAATTTAGAGTGGTGACTTGAAAAAAAATCACTGGTCATTAATATCTCTCAATATCAATGAACTTAATTTATCAATAAAAATATACAAGATAACAGATGGATACAAAAACAGGATCCATACTTCTGCTGCATACAAGAAACACACCTCAACATCAAAGACAGACATTACCTCAGAGTAAAGGATTGGAAAAAGATTGTACAATCAAGCAACCTAAGAAGCAAGCTGAATAGCTATCCTAATATTTGACAAAATAGATTTCAAACCAAAATGGAAGAGATTGAGGATACTGCATCAAAAGGAAAATTTATCAAGGTGAAATCTCAATGCTGAACATCTATGCCACAAATACAAGGGCACCCACATTTGTAACAGAAAGATTACCAAATCTTAAACTACACATTGAATTTGACACAGTAATTGTGGGAAACTTCTACACCTCACTCTCTCCAATGGACAGTTTTGCCAGACAGAAACAAAACAGAGACATAACAGAACAAGCAGATGTTATGACTCAAATGGACCTGAGATATTTCTACAGAATATTTCTCCCAAACACCAAAGAATATACCTTCTCAGAACCTCAGGTAACCGTTTCCAAAACTGACCACATATGTAGTCACAAAGCAAGTCTCAACAGATACAAAAAAAAAAAGGAATAACATTTTGTATCTTATTAAATCGTCATGGATTAAAGTTGAGTTCAACAACACAAACTACAGGAAACTTACAAGCATATGGAAAATGAGGAACTCACAACTAAACTACCAATGGGTCAAGGAAGAAATAAGCAAATAAATTAAATACTTCCTAGAATTCAATGAAAACACGTGTACAACACACTCAAACTTATAGAACACAATGAAAGCAGTGCTAAGAGGAAAGTTCATAGCACTAAGTACCTGCATAAAGAATTTAGAGAATTCTCATACAAAAAAAGCAAGCATATTCACGAGGAATAGATGGTAGGAATAATCAAATTGAGGACTGAAATCAAGAAAATAGAAAAAAAGAGAAAAATGCAAAGAATAAATGAAACAAAAAGTTGGTTCTTTGAGAAAATCAACAAGATAGACAAACCTATCCAAACTAACTAAAAGACAGAGAGATGATGTCCAAATTAACACAACCAGAAATGAAAAAAGAGGCATAGCAAACGACAGTGAGGAAATCTGGAGAACCATTAGGTCATACTTCAAAAAACCTATACTCGGGCAGACGCAGGTGGCGGCAGACACAGGTGGCAGCAGACGCATTTATAGCAAGCCTACAGCTAACATTAAATTAAATGGATAAAAACTCAAAGCCATCCCACTAAAATCAGGAACAAGGATGTCCACAATCTCCATACCTCTTCAATATAGTGCTTGAAGTTTTAGCAATAGCAATAAGACAACATAAGGAGAAAAAGGGGATTCGTATTGGAGAGGAAGAAGTTAAGCTTTTGTTATTTGCAGATGATATGATAGTATACATAAGCGACCCAAAAACTCTACCAAAGAACTTCTACAGTTGATAAACACCTTTAGTAATGTGGCAGGATACAAGATCAACTCCAAAAAATCAGTCGCCCTCTTATACACAAAGGATATGGAAGCAGAGAGGGAAATCAGAGAAGCATCACCTTTCACGATAGCCAGAAATAACATAAAATATCTTGGGGTAACTCTGACCAAGGAAGTGAAAGATCTGTTTGACAAGAACTTTAAGTCTTTGAAGAAAGAAATTGAAGAGGACACCAGAAAATGGAAGGATCTCCCTTGCTCTTGAATTGGGAGGATCAACATAGTAAAAATGGCAATTAACCAAAAGCAATTTATAGATTTAATGCAATACCCATCAAAATTCTTCACAGATCTGGAGAAGATAATATTCAACTTTATATGGAAAACAAAAAACCCAGGATAGCCAAAACAATCTTATACAATAAAGGATCGTCTGGAGGCATTACCATCCCTGACTTCAAACTC